CTCACTTTCATGGAGGCATCCATCTCAAAAATAGCCTGTGCCTTAAAGAACAACAGAAATGATAGTATTTTAAAAGGAGAATGGAGCATGAATAAGACTAGACGTACTGTGGCTATATTCCAGTGAAGACCATGATGCCATAAATTGAGAGGCGTTGCTTTTCAGTTCTTCCATTATGCTTTTATTTATACTGTCCCAGTGCGGTCACCAGGGAACAATTCTGCTAGCACACTAACGCAAAGAAGAAAAATGATCCTGTGTTGTGCTGAAGACATACTGTGTATCTGGTGTCTCATTTCAGCTGTATGTAAACTACCTTGTCAACATGGAGGAAAATGCATAGCTCCAAACGTGTGCAGATGTCGACTGCCGTACTCTGGTCTACAGTGTACAAAGAAAAGGAAGGAATGAAGCAACTTCAGCAAAGATAAGCTGCATTTTCTTCATGTAACTCTTCATACAGAGATGAAGTCTGCAGCAGTGGGGGACCTTAAAACAAATGTGGTAACTAATTGATTTCAGATAGCCTTTTGTCTTCAGTATATTAAGTAAATGCTTTTCTGTATGAAAGAAAAGTATTGCTGATTGTAACAAAGCTGTTAAAAGTATCCAAGTGTGTGTAGTGTATGGCACACATTTTCTTCTGTTCTCATTTTTCTTCATAAGCACAAGTATTATGTCTTGATTGATACAGCTGACCTTGAAATAAAATTTAGTCTTCAAATAAAGTACTTCAGAATAGACCTATGCTCTTCTTTTTGTTTTGTTTTTCTTTTTTTCCCCTTTGACTAGAAGTATAGCATTATATTAATAATGTGTTTTTAAAAAGGCCATGAAACAAAATGTCCTTAATTCAGATTATCAGAAGTAGATGTTAGTTCAAGTATAATTTGCCTTTAATAAGATTACACAGTTGCAAGAGTAAACTTGCAGAGTTTGCATGTTTCTGAACATCAGCAAACTGCAAAGCATCTTATTAAAATCCTAGTTATCGCTTTGTGTATGCTTCCTGCCCCTCCCCCCCCCCAATCAGATTTGGATCTTGATCAGTTAAACAGTGTTAAGAAAAAAAACCCACAAAACACAGTGCTTGTTCAGACAGTTCCACTGTTACTTTCTAAAAGCTTAATCTATACTGATACTCTAAGAGAGTCCTTATCTTGACTACTTCTACAATCATATTATCTGATCATCTCTCAATTTCCAATTATTTCCCTTCGTTATCCCAATAAGATAGGGAAATATGTTTATCTCCCTTCTGGAGATGTAGATGTTGATGATTCATTCTTATTCAAGATGGTGGTGTTACAGGAGCAGTAAAATGGGAGGCTACAGACTGGCAGTGAGGAAAAGCTGTGTGTCACAAACCACCTGTGTGGAGGATGCTGAGGCTTGTGTTCTGGACGTGTTCCACTTTGGCCTCATTTAGGTTTTGCAGCCTTTTGAACGGGCTGCAGGTTGGACCGAGGCTCCTATGGTCATTGTGCCATGTCTCATTTGTGCTGTTTCTTGAATGCTACTGTTGAGGAAGGTTTTGCCAAAACATGCAAGTTGAATCAGTCAACTTTCTGAATGATGCCCAAATCCATCTTTTTTTGAGAGATAGATTGATTTTCATTGTCTTCTAGGTGAAACTGGAATTTTTGGTGGGAGAATTTTAATTATACATTACTTTAAGTCATTTGCCTATGCGTTATTTTAATCCTTTTGATGGAATAACATTGTATCTGTGTATAAGCTCCCTTACCAGAACACGTAGCTTTCATAGGCAGAGTGACTTACACAGGCATGTTTCTCCAGGGATTACAAGCCTCCGAGCATTGTCGGGAAGCAAAGGAAATGGGATCTTCTCAGTTACCAACCTTCTCGGAGGGCAAATGAAAGACAATGGTATAGCTCATGAGACTCCTTTTCTGTCATGAGCAATTGCTGTGGTGTGCAGTTGAGAAGCCTTCCTCTGTCCTTGCTTTGGAGGCTTGTTGCAGTTGGTTCAGATGAAACCTGCTACGACACGTGTTGTGCGGGTTTTGTTGCCGGGGCGGGGGACAGGGTAAGAGGAGTGTATATTTTTTGTGCTGCTTTTGCTGTGATACACTGGATATTTCAGACATGCTGGTAAAAAATGTGGTTTTCATGCATGGAACAAGATGATTTCATCAATGGTTCCGGATTAAGCTTTATGATGATGAAATTCTGTGTCTCTGTCACAGTTCAGTACAATAATCACGCCATAATTTAGAAATTCAGGAGTGAAGTTGAATACCTTAGATGACATACTGCTTGCAGGGAAGTGAATGGAAAATAATTAATTGCCTCAGACCCAAGATTTCAGAGTAAATGTGCAGAAGAACGTAAATGCAAAGAGGCGTAATATCCCAGTATTGTTCCTGAAAAGACTGACTTCTGCTAATAAAGCCAAAAGTGACAATAGTGGTGATTAGAAGCCAAGAGATATCGGCATTGTTAGGAGCATGAGACCAGGAGCAGTCGGTGAGAGAGACCTGTAATTGGTGTTTCTGAGCAGGCCAGAACACATGCTAATTTAAATAGTTCTCTGTTTAGAAATGATTGAAGTAAGCAAGCAGTAATTTGATGGCACACAGAATGTGATTGCATATTTTAGAAATACTGCTTGAATGTAGCACCATCTACTGGTTACAGGGTTTTTCGTTGGGATTTTTTGTTTTTGTTTTTAAGAAATATCATTTAAATCTCCACAATATTTTAAGTGAGTCTAAAAGTGAATTTTCTAGTAGTTAAAGTAGAAGAGTCTCAGAATGTATTATTAATGACAGTTCAGGTCCTCAAATTATTATTTCCACAGTTCCACATGTATTTACTAAAAGAGCTGTCAGTACCTTGAGTACTGTGTTCAGTTTTGGGCCCCTCACTACAAGAAGGACATTGAGGTGCTGGAGCGTGCAAAAGAAGGGCAATGAAGCTGGTGAAGGGTCTAGAGAACAAGTCTTAGGAAGAGAGGCTGAGGGGAGACCTTATTGCTCTCTACAACTACCTGAAAGGAGGTTGTAGCGAGGTGGGGGTCGGTCTCTTCTCCCAAGTAACAAGTGATAGGACGAGAGGAAACGGCCTCAAGTTGTGCCAGGGGAAGTTTAGGTTGGATATTAGGAAAAACTTCTTCACTGAAAGGGTAGTCAGGCACTGGAAGAGGCTGCCCAGGGGAGTGGTTGAGTCTCCATCCCTGGAGGGATTTAAAAGATGGGTATACGTGGTGCTTCAGGACATGGTTTAGTGGTGGACTTGGCAGTGCTAGGTTAACGGTTGGACTTAATGATCTTAAGGGTCTTTTCCAACCTAAATGATTCTATGATTCTATTCCTTGTCTTTTTTTTTGTTTCCCACTCACTGGAAGATTGCACATACTAGTTACAGCATGTAATTTTTGGAGCTAGATGTGTCTTCCTGTGAAAAGCTAGTTATCTGTGCAGCTCAAAGGTCAAGAATAACGCTACAGAACAGGTTACCTCCCTTATTTATTAGAGCTAACTGTAACACCTTACACAGATGCTCTGATTTTCAGTAAAAACAACTGGAAAAATTGTAGGGGTAGTGCACTGGTTGCATTTTTGATATTCTGTCTTTTTAGAGCGTGTGTGGAAAGGTGAGAAGTGTTTTTTCTTTTTAATGTACTTACATGCACGTTTTACCATTTATATTTTCTCTTCTACTGTTAGTGGTTGTAGCAAGAATGGAGTTACTTGGTTTATCTGTAAAATATCCTTTATCAGCTAAACTGAGCTGTGGGTGGAAGTTGAGTAAAACGACCTGACATCGCCATGCGATACCTTTATACAAGAGAAACAGCATCAACATCTTCAGTCATTAGTAACACTTTCTAACCCGTCTGGTTTTTGTGTATGTACCCAGGTGTTATGTTTTATTGAGAATTTAAATTTTGGATTTTCCCATTTGGGTAAGTAAGAGAGCGGATACAGCCAATTTGTCAAGTAGCTTAAGCTTTTATACTGATTTACTTTAGGGTTTGTGCTGATTCTTCATGGGTTTGCTTTTGGTAGATGGAAACGTTAACTCACTTCCTATTCTCAGCTATGAGAGTATAAAATTAACTTTTGTAAAAAGAAAGAGCCTTTCACACGAGGCCTTTTTTTTTTTTTTTTTAAATCACAGCCAACATGGATACAAATGTAGGAAACTGAGTCCTTGCTAAGATCTGTAGTATCTTCTGTGATATCAGTTCTTCCTTCAGAAATCATTCATTGTACTGCATTTTAAAGATCTTTTCAAGATTATGGGCAAAAGCCAGTCTGCACTTGGGAGAATTTCTGCTGGCCTGCAGAGCAACTTTAGTGCAAGCAGATAATAAATGGATGATGTACACAGGTACCTTCCAGCACTGTTTAGTATTTAAAGAAATCATGCAAGAAAATTCAGGGAAGACACCTGTATTCTGTATAATGTGCTAAGAATCACTGTAAGATCTTCAGTTTGGCACAAGTTGCCCTTCATTCCGTCAGACTGGGACTGTGGCAGCTCCTGCAGTATGCAACCCTTCTCCCCTCTTCTTAATACCCAGACTCTTTCGGGCCTAATTTCAGATTGCCTTATGCAATTTTAGAACAGTTTTGTTAACCTGTGTACACAAGCCCTGTACGTGCTTCTGCCTCTTGTTAAACTGAGCAATTGTACTGCATTGTTGCAATGTGCTTTCTAATTACAGTGAATTCTGTTTCACGTGCATGATGGACAATCTAGTAACAAAATAGTTTCAACTAATTACATAATTACTGGACAGTTTTGAAGTAGCTGGCTGCCTTTATGCAGGTACTAGTAATTTTTCTGCTTCATGGGCTTGCTTGGAAAATAGCACAGCTTAGCGCTGAGCATTTTTAACTACTGTAGCAAAACTCTGGATGTGCTTTGGTTTGCACAGCTTGCATTTGGAAAATGTAAAAGAAATCAATTTCTGCATTTAGAAAATAAATGGGAAATACTAGAAGTTACGATTAAAAAAAAAAACCCCTTTATTCAGCCTGAAATCCTAAAAAGGCACAGATACATATTGATTCAGTGTTGTGAACGGAGGGTTGCACAAACTCATTAACCAAAGCGCTATTAACAGCGCTCCTGGCAGATGTTATCTCTCTCTTTAGCACAACACCTCTGTAACTGACACGTAGAATGGGAGTTATTACAATATGAGATTATGCGATATTGATGTGTTTGCATTTTAAAAACATTTTCAGAACCTTGTGTATTCAAAGCATCACCCTGAGGCATCCGTTCCAATAGCTAGTCAGGTTTTGTTCATAGAGATCTTTATGAGATAGGAAACTGTTCAAGTGGAGTAGGTTTTAAATAATACAACAGTTCCCAGCCTGTCAGGCTACCAGCCACTTGGATGCTCAATTCAAAGAAACTATGGAAACACTGAAACTTAAAATACAAGTGGGAAATTGAAAACATTTTTTAGATTCACCAGTCAGGCACTTGGAAATCCATCAGGTATCATTCTGGAATGATGCTGAGCTTTCAAAATGCCAGCTTACTTTGCAAAATTACTTAAGAGGACTATCAAAAGGTGAGGAGAAATCTAGGCACAGAGCTGCTAACAGCTATGATTTGGCAATCAGCATCCCACAGTGGCAGTAAATGGCAAAATGAGCTCCATTTTCTTCCCATTCAGAATACGTGTGTGTAAATTGAATAGTACTCAGGAGAACAGGAACTCATGACGTTTATTTTTGGTTTGTATCTATTACCAGAGCTCAGTTGGTTGAGGCATGAACTGAAATGTCTTTCACAGCTCTAGGGGAAGAATATGGTGGTCCTCTGTAGGAAACTTCAGAAAAAGTGGAATTTTATTTGTTCAAAAACTATCTGGCTGCTGGTAGGTCCTAACAGTTCATTGGAGTGAAAACTTCTCTAAAAAGTTTTTACAAATACTTTCTGATTTGATGCATACATATGGCATGATTACAGCCAATTCCTCCTCTTATTAGTTCCTATTTTAAGATTCAGCATGGCTAAAAGCATTGTCAAATTTCTCTAAGAGAGTCCGGCACAAAATTTCCCCATATTACTGAATGCCATCTCAAAACAGGGGCATAAAAGTCTTACAGACACACAAATCATTCAGCAGCTGGGTACTCAACTGCCTGAGTGTAAGTAATGGAGAAGAAAGAAAAAAAAAAAAAAAAAAAAAAAAAAAAAGAGA